AAAGGTCCGTCACTGGAGGAATAGCTAAATCATAGAACTGGGCAGTTATTAAAAAGAATGAAGGAGATTTGTATATACTGACCTGGAAAGATTCAATACTATATTGTTAAGTGAAAAAACCAAGTTGCCGGATAATATATAATTTTTATAATTATATATATTTTAAACTATGTATATGTGTGCATATATATCTGTGCACATTATGTATGTGCAATATTTCCAGATGCATAGAAAAATGTATGCTTTGGGGAAGAGACAGGGATTTTAGAAGAGTCATAGCAGATCTGTGTTTCATCTATATTGTTCTAACTTTTTACAATGAGAATATTTAGCTGGTGGGGGTGTGTGTGTGTATCTAGGCCTAGGGGTTTAGATAGTGGGATTATGTATAATATTTCTTCTACTTTTCTGTATGCTCTTTATTTCCCACAGGAAAAAAAATATATATTTATATTAAGTTGTATTCATGTAACATGTTATAAATATATAATAAATATGTATTTTATATATATCCATGTATATAATATCCATTACCAAATTTTATCTGTGGTTTTCGTGGAGTTGGGGCAAGCAGGGGTAGTACCACTTTAGCTTTTTATCTAATAGACTTCCTAGGGATTAAACCTTTTCCCAGCATATGTTACGTTTGCGATTTTTAAAGATTAAAAAGAAAGAAAAAGAAAAAAAGAAAGACTTGACAATCCATTTAGCATGAAGGCTATAAACCAAATTTGCAACGGTAAGTTCAAGGCTTGCCATCTCATGCCTCGGAAAAGTTTCAGTGACTTGGGGGACTTGGTTAAAATAGATCTCGCTAGTGTCTTGTGGCTTTAAGACGGGACAGATTTAAATGGGTCACCCTGCAGCTGGCAAAGCAGAAACCCCAGGAAATGGAAACTATAACGTTGGAATCCCAAGAAAGGCGCCCAGACTTGGCTGCTGTGGGTGGACACTTAAAAGGGTCCGTCCCCCACACCCCACTCCCAAACCACACTCATAAATAAATACAAAGGAAATACTTTCCCAAGAGAGCCGGCCTCTCTCCCTTGGCCTCTGACCTCCCTAAGCGGCCGTTTCCTACAGCCCAGAGGCCTTTCTTCGGCGCCGGCACCGCAACGGAGGGCTTGCAAAGGTGACCCGGCGGGGCTCGCACAGCACTTGGCTCGCCCCGGGCGGGAGGCGGGGGCAGGTGCCCCCAACCGAGTGGCGCAGGGTGACACTGGCCGCTGCCGCCGAGCCTCTTCCCGGCCAGTCGTGCTAAGAGCTCCGCAGCACCCCGTGACTCACTGCCAGGTCACACGGAGCTTATCTGGCTCCAGGTGTGCTCGCTTCGACTGCACGCTTCTCACATGACATCAGCCGGCCCGCCCGCCCGCCGGCTCCGGCTCCCGCTCCCTCGGACCCCGCGGCCCAGAGCACTTCCAGGGAGCCCCGCGGCGCCTCCCGCCGCGATACCGTCTCCCCTGAAACGCAGCGGTCCCGCAGGGCCCCGGGAGGAACGACAGCGGGAGAGGTGCCAGCGGCGCGGCCAGGTGCCCCGCTGCTCTTCCACGTGCACCTCCTCGGCTCCACGCTGGGGTTTGCCGCAGCCGGCTGGGCGCTAAACTCAGCTAACACTGCCCCCCCCCTTCTGTGTGACCTTGAGCAAGTCCTCTCCCCTCTCTAGGCCTCCGTGGACCTGAGAGTTCAGACTTGGCCCCAAGCCCTTGCCTTTGCTGGAGAGGTATTCTGCTCAACTCTGATTTGCAGGTTCTAATCCTGCTCTGCCTCTGACTTTCTGTGTGACCTTGAGCCCGTCATCCAACATCTCTGAATATCCGAGAATAATAAAAATAATCCCTTGTAAGTGATGGTAAAGTGCCTAGCAGAGAGAAAGGGCCCTGGGCCCTCTAAAAAACCTCAGTCCACGGGGCACCTGAGTGGCTCAGTCATTGGGCGTCTTCCTGTGGCTCGGGTAGTGGTCCCAGGGTCCTGGGATGGAGCCCCACATCGGGCTCCCTACCCTGCGGGAAGCCTACTTCTCCCTCTCCTACTCCCCCTGCTTGTGTTCCCTCTCTCGCTGTGTCTCTCTCTGTCAAATAAATAAAATCTTTAAAAAACAAAAACAAAAAAACCCTCAATCCACGGTTTAAACTCCTGCCTGACTGTAAGCTATTTGAACCATTAAGGGAATACGGATAATTTATAAGCCACACAGTTCCCACCTCAAGGAAAGTGAGGTGGGGAGAGGAGTGGAGGCTTTCCAGTTCTGCTCCCCGCCCCTCCCAATCCAGCTCCCAACCCAACTCTCGAATTCAGGGGACAAATGGTGATGGGGAGTGAGATGCAGAGTGAGCAGATCTTAAAGCACCCAGGAGCCTGACCCAAAGAAGAACTTCAAAGCTCCATCAAGCCCTCAGCCCCAGTCCTGGGGGAACCACTCTCACACCCTCTAACCTTTAAACTACACCAGGCCAGAGCCCCTCAGCTTTACCCACCACACCTGGGAGAAGCCTGGGACAAGGCCTGGGGCCCAGAGCCACCAACAGGACCCAGCTCACATGGATGATCGAGTTCCAGTCCGGGGCATCCACTTCAGGTGAGGGGCGTCTGGCTGGGCACAGATCTCGGGTTTGAAGGAACAAGAACAGCCCTGCTGCTCTGGAGACCTGTGACACACCAAGTGCGGCTCAAGGTTTCCTGAGTTCCAGCAACTCCCTGCTCCACCCGAGTAGGGTGGATTCTCCCTTTCAGTTCTGCCCCACCCCGTCCACCTTCGGGGACCTGCTTCTGGGGGACCCCGGAGGTTTCAGGCCCAATTTCTGAAGACACAAGCACCCCTTAAAGAGCAGCCTCAAGCTGGGCCGGGGAAGGGGGCTCCAGGCAATAGCCCGGCTGCCCCTGACAGCCAGGGAGTGAGGCTGAGGGACCAGGCAGGAGTCAGGAAGGGGACAATCCACATGAGGGCTTCTGAGGAAAGCCTGGGGCACCTGAGGAAGCCCTCAGGCACACACCCTGGCACCTGAGCTAGGCCTGGGAAGCATAAACAAACTAGATACTCAGAGCTGCCAGGCACCAGGTCATCAACTGTTCAAAGTTCAAAGCTTTCAAAGGAAGTGACCACCGGCATTCTATCCCTCCCACCCCCACCTGCGACCCTTCTCATTGCCCTAACCCTCCAACACAATAGCGTCCCCCATCGTCTTCCTGGAATTGAGGCCCCAACCCCAATGTCCTCAACCCCAAATGGACAAGCATACCTCCACCCGAGGCTATATATAATTAGTCATGTCCAGCAACCAGGAGGATGTTTCCTGGAAAGTCCTCATCACAAAAGGGCAGAGGGGAAGCTGAGGAGATGGCAGGTCATTGACAAAGAGCCAGTGAGGTCTGTCAGGAAGCCAGAGACCTCAGGAGAGCAACTTTCAATATCCCCAAATAGAAAGTAGCTTCTGAACCAAAAGGGTGGGGAAAGCTAGACAAGGCCTGGCCCATTGCCATGACAACAGGAAACCAACCTGCCCAAGAAAAGGGCTCCAGATCTCATAAGCATATGGAAAGGCAGCCTGACCCCCCAGGTTCAATGTCTCGCTAAGGTGATCTCGCTCTTAACTTGACCTTCTCTCCCTTCCAGCATAGACCCAATGCATACATACTTCAGACAGTTCACTCTCCTTGGGGGAGACATGCCAGGTACTCCAAAGGACAAATGAGCCCACACAAACCAGCCTGAATCACTGGACAGGTGAAGGGGGGGAGGGAATCCGATTCCATAATTTTGGGGGTCCATCTGAGGGCAGGAAGGCTCTAGGCAGGAGAGCTCCTCCCAGGAAGCATTGTCCCGGGCCTCTCTACACAAACACAAACCAAAAGGACACTGCCAAACACATGCCCCATTGGCCAAGTGACCAGGCAAAAGGACTACCACTTAAAAAACAGACTGTCTGCCTTCCCCCACCCGCATCCATCCCCCCAGCCCAGTTCATTCTGGCTGGCAGCCTTTCTAACTAATCAGCAGGACACATGTGCCTTGCAAAAGGGTGACATCCCCATCCCTCCTCCCTGCCCCCAACAAAGCCCCAATGTGTGGTATGCCCCTGCAGGCCTTATCTCAGCCAGGAACATGACCCACTCCTCACCATGCTTGGTACCAAGCAGCACCCCGCTCCCCCCCCAACACAGCGGTGGGGAGCAGCTAACCTTACCACCTCCCCTTCCCATTGGGGAAACAACTGGCATGACAGGTTAGCAGGGCGGGGCGTCAGGGCAGTCTCTCCCAGAGGCCTGGGGCAGGCCGTCCGACCTTCCCACACACACCCCACCCCTTTGCAGGGAAAGGTGAGGTGAGCAGCCAGTCACAGGGGACAGCCAGCACTCCCTAATCCCCAAACCTACCATTCACTCACCCCCATCTTCTGCGCCCGGGGAGGGGGTCTGGGGAAGCGGGGTCTCCATTGTTTTGCCAGCCGTCTAGCAGCTGCTCCTTTGAGAGGAGCCCGCTGTCGGCCTGGCAGTGAAAGGGTGCAGCCGCTGGGAGGGATAAAGGGCTCGGCCGAGGTGCTCGCTGTCCCCGCTGCTTTCCTCAGAGCCTCGCTCGCTCGCTCGCTCGGTCTGGGGGGCGGGGGCCTGGGCCTGGCCCCGAGAAGCCCCCTATCCCGGAGGCTGCAGCCTCCACCCCGCAGCTCGGGGCCACCTGGGCTCCCCCAAGCCCTCAATCCCTCCCCCAAACCGAGGGCCACCCTGCCCTGCCTCCGCGCGCCCCCGAGCTGGCAAAGGGGGCCAGAGCTCCCCTCCCCGCCCCTCCCGGTCGGCCCCGGTTCCTGGGCGCCGAGGTCCGCCGCGCAGCCGGGGACCGGAGCCGGGAGTCCGGGCCGCCGCTTCCAGGGGACAGTGGGGGAGGAGGAGCCGGCGGGCCCCTCCGCCCGCCCGCCTTCCCGGCCTGAGCCCGCCCCGCCGCCCCCACCCCCGCCTCCTGGGGCCGCGGGCTCCCCGAGCGGCCGCCCCCGCCGCCCCGCGCTCACCGGCCGCCGGAGCCCGCCCGGCAGGCAGCAGAAGCGGAGACGCGGCATCCAGCGGCCCCGGCCCGGTCCGGGCTGGAGCGCAGCGCGGCGCAGAGCAGCGCCGCCCCCCGCAGCCGCGCGCGCCGAGCCGAAAGGGAGCTCCCTGCTGGCGGCTCCGGGGATAAACGCCCGGCCTTCCTGGCAGCCGCTGGGCGCGCCTCCAGAACGGGCCATGCGGGCACCGGGCGCCGCTCCGCGAGCCCTCTGTCCGCGTCCGAGAGGCCCCGCCTGGAGCTCCTGTGTGCACGGGGCGCCGGAGGCCGCTGGGCACGCCCAGGGCAGGCACCGTGCCCGCCTGTAGAGAACAGGTTCCTTCCAGGGCCGGCACTGGACCCCGTGGGCTGTGTCCAGGAGGGTGCTGCCCAGGGCCGTGGTGTCCGGAGGAAGCATTGGAGTCTTGCTGGTCACATCTTCCCAGGGTGGCTCTGCAGAGGCGGACACAGGGCGCTGCTGTATGGTGCCAGATGGCTCAGTCCAAAGTAGGCACTGCCTGCATGTCCAAGGTGACACAGGCCGAATGTCCTCCTCACGGTGGACACGGGCTTGTGGTAGCTTGGTCTGAGAGAGCCCTGCCTTAGTGGGGCTGCCTGAGGGGTGTACCAGGGCCCAGGGGACAGCCCTCAGGGGCACTCACTCCCCAAAGGAGTCCAACAATGCTAAGATTAACACCTTTTAGTAGCTTTTTTTTTATTTTTTAAAGATTTTATTTATTTATTTGACAGAGAGACACAGTGAGAGAGGGAACACAAGCAGGGGGAGTGGGAGAGGAAGAAACAGGCTTCCCGCGGGGCAGGGAGCCCGATGCGGGGCAGGGAGCCCGATGCGGGGCAGGGAGCCCGATGCGGGGCTCGATCCTAGGACCCTGGGATCATGACCTGAGCCGAAGGCAGACGCTTAACGACTGAGCCACCCAGGCACCCCTTTTAGTAGCTTTTTTGGAAGGAGGTCTGCCCCTGGTTTTTATGTCCTATAAACATCCAGTGAACTGCTCTCACCAAGAAGGGATTTTAGACGTCCTGGGAGGGGCCAGACGTGTTTAGAGAGCAGGCCTCCAAGATAGGTGCTATGTCTTGAGTTTGGAGAGGGAGAGGTAGACACTTCTACAGGCAGTGTCCTTACTGGAGTGGGGTACCCCGGAATGTGAGAGAAACTGAGCGTGGTGGTGCAGGAGGAAGGGCAGCCCTCTGCATAGTTAGCCCAGCTGAGAACTTCTGTAGACCGGGGTGGCCCAACCTGACAGATCAGGGAAGGTTGGAGCAGGGGGGCCCAGGAGCAAAGGGCTGAGTAAGAGCTCCGAGATCCTGAGGAATAGACCACACCCAGGATGTGCATTTTGCATAAAGGAATAGCCAGCCACCCAAACTCAATTAAACAGACTTTTACTGAGAGGCCGCCAAGTGCAGCACCCGGCACTCTGGGGGACACTGAGAAATCAGACATGCAGCCTCTCTCAGCGGGACTCACATGGAAGTGCGCTGTGACTGTAGTGAGTAGGGTACACCATGCTGTCATCCCTAGGAGGAGATAGTGCTATGATGGGTGGCAGGTTTGGCTGGAGGAGTGAAATAAAGTTGCTCTGAGACCTGGTATTGAGTGAAACATTGCAGGCTGGGTTGGACATGCTATCATTACTGCTTCCTGAACACCTACTATGTGCTAAGCACTATCTCTAGTCCTCACAACAAACCTATGACAAAGAGACTATTATAGATAGGGATTGAGTGCATGGACTCTGGGGTCAGGTTACCTGGGTTCAGATCCCTGTCAAGTACTAGCTGTGTTGCCCTGGGTGATTTATAAAACCACTCTAAGCCTCAGTTTGCTTATCTGAAAAATGGGGATAAATAACAGGGTCTGTCTCAGAGCTTATTTTGAAAATTAAATGAGTTTAGTCTTTTCAACAAATGGTGCTGGAACAACTGGATATTCACAGTCCAGAAAATGAATCTAGAAATAGACCTCACACCTTTTACAAAAATTAATATGGATCATAGACCTAAATGTAAAGCACAAAACTACAAAACTGCTAGAAAGTAACATAGGTGGGAACCCAGATGACCTTGGGTTAGGGGATGATTTTTTTAATTTTTAATTTTTTTAATTCCCGTATATGTAAATACAGTATTCTGTTTAGTTTTAGATGTATAATATATTAATTCAATAATTCTGTACATTACTCAGTGCTCTTCATAAGTGTACTCTTAATCGCCTTCACCTATTTCTCCCCCCAAATCTGGTAACCATCCATTTGTTCTCTATAGTCAAGTCTGTTTCTTGGTTTGTCCCTTTTTTTCTTTGTTTGCTGTGTTTCTCAAATTTCACATATGAGTGAAATCATATGGTATTTGTCTTTCTCTGGCTGATTTATTTCACTTACCATTGTACTCTCTAGCTCCATCCATGTTGCTGCAAATGGCAAAATTTAATTCCATTGTATATACATACCACCTCTTCTTTATCCATTCATCTATCCATGGACACTTGGGCTGCTTCCATTGTTTGGCTATTGTAGATAATGCTGCAATACACACAGGGGTCCATACATCTTTTCGAATTAGTGGTTTCATATTCTTTGGGTAAAGACCCAGTAGTGGAATTACTGGATCATATGGTAATTCTATCTTTAATTTTTTGAGAAACCTCCATACTGTTTTCCAGCGTGGCTGCACCAGTTTGCATTCCCACCAACAGTGCTCGAGCGTTCCTTTTTCTCCACATGCTGGCCAACACTTGTTGTTTCTTGTGTTGTTGATTTTAGCCATTCCGGCAGGTATGGGGTGATATCTCCTTGTGGTTTTGATTAGCATTTCCCTGATGATGAGTGACGTCAAGCATCTTTTCATGTGTCTGTTGGTCATCTGGATGTCTTCTTTGGAGAAATGTCTGTT